AAAAATGTGTGATATAGGAAAATCGGTCCCATTATGATTTCGTAATATATCGCGTGGTTATTTTGTCCTAAATTTCAACAACCAACCCATAATCTATCAAAAAATTCCTATTGATTGTTAAAAGTGGGGTCCCCTTTCAGTTCTTTCTCAATCTGGAAAATAATACTTATTGGATGCGGGCCTTAAATGCTGGCATTGTGTGAAGTTCAAAAAACAAAAAAGAAGATTTTAATCCTGAGAAAAAGCTTTTTTAAATTGTCTTCAAAACCATGGATAACTGAATGATGTTTGTGTTAATATCAAAAAATGTTTCCTTGGAAGATGATTGAAGGAGACAGGATTACTGGTTCGATTTTTCTGATGTTCGTTTGACAGCTAGAGACGTTGCTGAAAATAAGGAAGAAGAAGAAAGGCAGTTGACCAAGGAGCTGATCTACCACTGCTCCATCATGTAATTGCTGAAAATCACAAATTTAAATCCCACAAATGGAGGAGAATTTTCCTGTGGAACAAAATTTTGGGAATTCAGAATTTAAATTATGAATTTCGTTGGCTGAATCCCGTTGGAAGTGCGAAGCAATAATTTGAATCTCAACAACCAATTGGAATTCAAATTCTAATTCAAGAATTCCTGAAATTGTGGAAGCTATTAAAGGAAGGAGTTGATTGCTGCCGATTCAACTCAAGTTTGCTAGAATTTCAGGGGAACTAACAAACCATTTTTTGAATTTCAAAAATGCAGATTTTCAGAGGAAATCTGCAACTCCTTTAACAGATTTGGCCGCGGCGTATTCTAGATTAATGTTGGATCCAAATTTTATTAATTAAGCCTTACTGATCCTGAAATTTTAAAAACAGTGTCATAATTTTAGAGATACTTCCTCCACTATCGAATAATCTCTTTAACTTTTAAAAAAAAAAAAATATGCTCTTAAAAAAAGACAATAGGTCTTTTATAAGGAAGGTAAGTCCCCCGGATCTAGACACATTGTTCCAAAGAACTTCCAGCATTAGACCGGTTAAAAATCTCCTAGAAGGAAGAATGGCTTGTGGAATCAAAGTGAAAGAACGGCATGAGAGGGTTCTTCTTCTGTTTATCTCAATAAAAGTGGCAAGATTGGTAATCCTTGACAACAACATAGTGGATGATACTGAAGATGGAGGGGGGGGGGCAAATTATTCAAAAAGTTTTGGATTTACACGCTATCATGAATGCTGACTTTGGAAATTGGAAAAGCTTATGGGAATATCTTTCAATGATATTTTAAGTTGATTGATGAGGAACATCTTTAGTTATATTGTCCTTAGGATTACTTTATCTTAGTTTGTTACCACTAGTTTCTTAGAATACTCCTTTTACCCTATAAATTATAACAAGCGTATTGAAGAGAGGGATCATTGAATGAATATACTACCTTTTGAAGCTTGAAAGCTTTTTCTTCTTCTTCCTGGATTGGGAGTTTTTCAAATCCTTCTTGGCAGGTATCGACTTCCGCCGATCCACCACATCAGTTGGTATCATGAGCCTGGAGCTTGAGAAGATCTGTATTGCAGAGTCGGCTGATTCGACAGGCGTTCGAGCCGTAGATCAAGGGCGGTTCGACGGATCAAGATGACGACGTCCAAATAAGATGGGCGGTCGACGAGGATCCCACCGATGGAGATGGCGTATGCGACGGCGAGTGCGCCCGAAGAAGACGGGAGATCGAGTGACTATCTTCCTCTCGAGGCTTTCCACTCCAATGCGTGATCCGCCACCGGTATACCCTTCCCCTTCTACTCGCTGCCACGCAAAGGGATCCGTAATCACCAGATGTTGTGGTTGACGATTATCCCGCTCGAACTCCCTCTCCGATGGCGTGACCCGCCGCCGGAGTATCCGCCGCTCGAGCTTCCCGCTCAAATGGCGTGATCCTCCTCCGCTTCAAACGCCAAGATCCGTGATTCCCGTCGGTTTCCAACATTCGAATCGAGCTCCTCCGCCTACCCGTCGATCTGGCGATAACGGCAACAGCCGCCGTTCTGGCGATGCGGCAGCAGCCGAATCAGATCCCCGTCGATCCCGATCTCTCACGCCCATTTCGCGCCCCGCACCGACTCCGACTCTTACCCTCATTCACCTGCCGACAGTGACACGACCAGACTGTTTCCGCATCCGAGGCCTGGCGACGGACCGCCAGACTCCATACCCGACGAAACAATCGTCCAGATCTCGCACATTCCGCCTGATCTCGCACACTCCGCCTGCTTCGACTCCGATCTGGAGTTGACGACAGCAACCCACCAGGTCCCCGCCGACCGGACTCCCGCACACTCCGCTGCCAATACCACTCCGCCGTTAGCGTCCGGCGACACCATTCATCCGTTGCCGCACACCCCACTCCGACGGTAGCAGACAGAAAAACCACTTGGCTATGGCGACTTTGCTCCAAGCATTGAGCTCGATCTATCCCGATCGGATTTGCTCGCTTCGGCAATCAACCAACAGTCCGCTGCTGGTTGTTTTCACGGTGGACCTACGGCTTTCTCGGCACTCCACGCGACCGGATCATGTCCGCCAAAGCATGGACCTAGTACCAGACCACGAGAGACACCTCCAGAGCTTATGGCGAGTGTATCTAATGTTGGTCATACTGTGTTACCTGATGCAGCAAAATACTTTGGGATTCCATGCCCCAATACAGAGTCTCAAAACGGCGAATGTCGTGTTGATTGCCCTGATAATGATGCCGAAGAAAGGAATGTCGAGATTTTCTCGACCGACAATGGTTGTATCGCCATTGGAGTTGCAAATAATGATTCTCCTTTAAGTAGTGGTTCAGCTGATGTGCCTACCGTGACAAATGCAGCAAATTCTCAGGTTGTTTCAGAACCATCAGGCACTACTGAATCTCCAACTGAGAAAAACAAAACCAGTGAAGTTGCAGATAGTGATACCAGTTCTCCTGATGCACCAGAAAAGCCATATGTTCCTCCTGTGATCAAGATCAATCTTGAGCCCGAGCAACCAGTGATACAACAGGAGATTGTTGACTTGTACATGAAAAGCATGCAGCAATTTACAGAGTCATTAGCTAAGATTGAAACTTCTGAGAACGGTGAGAATGGGAGCAAGCAACAAGATGTTTTTATAATGAGCAGTGGTGATGGGGATGTTTCTACTGCAGATGTGCAAAGGCCCGGTCAAAATTTTACTGTCAAAATATATCCAGTGGAATGCTGTCCAACTGTTCGACGAAATGTCACTAAAGCATACAACGTTTTGCTAGATGCTTTTGCAATTTCTGGAAGTATTTTACTTGGATTTCTAGGTGGTACTGATGGTTTGTTTGCACAGAAAACTATAGAAATCACTTATGATATTCTTTCTTCTTTCAAAAACCAAGGTGGTTTTGATTTGCTGGGCCGAATCCAAGATCAGATTAGAACAAGTGAGCAAGTCAATGCTGCTAAGGTTGCATGTGAAGCATTGAAATTGAATGGTCTTGGCATTATTGGGGGTGTCACATCCAATACAGATGCTGCTCACCTAGCCGAGACTTTTGTGGAGGCTGATGTTGGCTTTGACACTATATGCCGGGTTAATTCACAGCTTATAAGCAACATTTGCTTGGATGCTCTTTCCGCAGAGAAGTATTATTATTTCATTCGCTTGATGGGACACAAGGCATCTCATGTTGCTGTGGAATGTACTCTGCATATAAATCCAAACATGATATTCCTAGCTGAAGAGGTGGCCATGTCAAAAGTTAACCTCTTTGATATTACAAAACAAATAAGTGATGCAGTCCAAGCAAGAGCAGAACAAGGAAAGTATCATGGTGTCATGCTCATCCCTGAGGGACTAGTAGAAAGCATTCCAGAACTATTTGCGCTGTTGCAGGAAATTCGTGGCCTCCAAAGCCAAGGAGTTGATATGGAGAGCATATCTTCTCCTCTTTCTCCCTGGGCATCTGCAATATTTGAATTTTTGTCACCATTTATCAGAAAACAGTTTTTACTTCCTCCTGAATCTGATAATTCAGCACAGTTTTCTGAGATTGAGATAGAAAAGCTTTTAGCTCAGCTGGTGGATGCAGAAATGAACAAGAGAATTGGAGATCTTTCGTCATTTGATGAAAATGAACACAAGGTCTTCAATTGGGGGAATCCACTTCATGTCTTAATTTTGAAATCTGCATTTAAAGTATTCGACCCGGGAATCTAGTTGGGATGTTCGCATCTACCTTCCTCCTAAATCACGAGCCTCGAACGGGGTCGAGCTCTTTTTGCGCAAGGGGAGAATGATGTAGGAACATCTTTAGTTATATTGTCCTTAGGATTACTTTATCTTAGTTTGTTACCACTAGTTTCTAGAATACTCCTTTTACCCTATAAATATACAAGCTATTGTAAGAGAGGGATCATTGAATGAGATATACACCTTTTGAAGCTTGAAAAGCTTTCTTCTTCTTCTTCCCGGGATTGGGAATTTTCAAATCCTTCTTGCAGGTATCGACTTCCGACGATCCACTATATCAATTTTGTTTGTATTGTTTTATGTGTTCTTTTCTAGTGAAGAGCCAGTGATAGAGTATTGATTGTATTGATCTCATGATTATTATATATTGCTTTTTGGATAACAAATATAATGGAATATTTTGATGTATATAATTATTAGATGCTTTAGTTGGATATGTTGAATTATATGAATGATTTATAAAAGCTCTAAAATAATATAGACAATTCTTTCAAATTTGATTATGGGACATGACAGTTCACATAATCAAAGTGTTGCTCAACCAAGGGATCCCTCAGAGCAATAGATGGCATCAGCTCATGATGATATGGACACTCTCCCAGTAAAAATCATAGTATTTGAACTCGTCGTTAGATAGCAGATCAAGGATATAGTTATTCTTAGTGAGCTCCTTTAAAAGACTCGCTCATACTTGTTTAGACTTTGAGGACCACTCCCCTCATTTAAAGTTGCTCACTCATAATAGTTGTCTATGACCAATTACATTCGCCCACTACAAATATCTTTACTCAAGCTACAGAAAGTACACATCTATAAAGCCAATAACTACTAGTTTTTGGCTAAACTCATCCATGGCTTGCAGTTATCATTATCTAGGCTCCACCAAGACACTCATATTCGAAGACTCACCCATAGTGGAGAAAGAGCTAGCCACATTGGAGGCAGGGATCCACACGCATATCATTCAGTTAGTAGACATATTAGTGGAGTCTATAATATTCACAAAATACAATATTTTCTATGTTTTCACCTATGTGTAGCATTTCTTATAGCCCTCTAAATAAATGATGAAGATGTATTTTTTTGGATATTCATGATGTTAAAAATATTTACATAGACATTCCAGCTTTCTACCGACTCTTCATATTCATCGATTTCTCACGCTTAGTTTCTAGCTCTAACTCATCACTAACCTGCTAGTAAGGCTAATGTTATCCACCGGTAACTTTGGATCTAACACACTTAACTTGAAAGTTATGACAATTTATTGGTAAATACTCAATGGAAAGCAAATAAAAAGAGACAATTTGTAATTAATTTATAATTCAAACCAAATACTATCACTAATATATGTACAAACATGCTAGATAATGCCCTTTCCCAAGGGATGATAAATAAAAATTATTATTTGTATTGTAATGCTCTAGCTTAGTTAAACTAATTATAATTTGAGAAAATAAATTGAAATGTAAATATTTTAAATTAAATTTTAAAGTAAATATCATACTTGTTTGCATAAATGACTTCATAGAAATAAATAGCTATAGAAAATTCACTTACATCGTTTTTCAAAATTTGATGCATTCAACATGTCCAAAAACTCTAGAGAAATGATATGCACAACAAAATCACATTTACATTAAGAGGGAGTTAAGTACATAGCACTCAAATTTATGTCATTTTCATATTTAATATATAAACTTCACTATTTACTCACATAACACTCAAAAATTAAAATGACATAAAAAATGACGCTCTCCTTATCCTTTTAGTTTCAACCGCTCACCGAAGTCCTATTCTTTTGCACACTAACATTGCTATCACCATTTGCCAACAATCAAAATCCTCTCTTTCACAAGTTGTTGGTCCCAATTGACTTTCAATAGCGAGATCTAGTCGTATGTTTCCAGTGCAGACACTATTGATCCTATGACTCTCCTTCCTGTATAAGATCTCGTTATGAACCTTCCTAATGAGATAACATTGATGATTTTTCATCCCCAATTGAGAACTCATCGCAACATCTTCTTCATCGTGTAAGATTTTGTCAAGGTCATTACCAGAAGTTAACAAAGTATTATATCATATAAATACTAATATTTAGACTTTAAATACACAAATATAACAATTTTGAGTGCTACAAATATACATCCCCATTAAATACATCTAAATATTTGATGAGAACGATCAATTAAACTCCTTCCACATAAAAATATATGTCATATCTTTACCCATAAATTCATTGAAAGAAACATATCAATATTCAAACAAAAATGCACGTTACCAAATCGGCCAGAAACTCCCAAAACATGCCACCTTTGTGTGCTATCCTCTCCTTCCCTAATCCACCACCACATCAATTCACAAGTCAAAATTCATAAAATACTCACATAACTCCAAACCTGTGCCACTCATCTGTGCCACCATTTCCTCCACCTCCATATGGACCATATCCCCAATCCCCCTACTTCCCATAACCCAATGCTTAATCAACAAAAATCGTCCCCTTCAGGCATCTAACCCCCTCACTCCACGGGCAAAATTATTAGGTGCGGACATCGAACATAGAGAATCATTTGAATTTCTCTCTGACTACAGGAAAAGCACAATCAAAGCGCAGCTGCTACAGTAACTAGACTTTGACTTTACTTTTACTGTAGACAGAGAAAAATCCGGATGATTCTCTTTATCCGATGTCCGAACCTAATAATTTCTCCACTCCATGAAAGTGTCAATCCCCACCTCAACCTCTAATATAAATCCCAACCTCAGCTATTTCCCTCTTCCTCCAAACTAACCATATGGCTTCTCTCAGTAGAAGACAAATCTCAGAGAAAGCCATGGCTGCAGCAGATGCAGGCTCGTCTTGCTTGGCTGTAGGGCTAGTGTTGCTGATGCTAATGAGCTCAATGAGGGAGGCGAGTCCGGATGTTGAGGCTCCACAGTCTATCCATAGCCGGAAATTCGGCGGGCATGGGCTTTGCGATGAGATATATGTAGTGGGTGAGGGAGAGACTCTACATACTATTAGTGACAAATGTGGGGATCCTTATATCGTTGAGAGGAATCCGCATATCAATGATCCTGATGATGTATACCCTGGCCTTGTGCTTCAGATTAGCCCTTCGAAGCCCAAGGAGGAAGAAGGACGCCGGCTGTATCAGAAACAGGGTTGTTGAATTGGTTTGTATAGGAATAGAAGTCGAATTAAACAAAGCCATGTGATTTTAGAGAAGTTGGGATGACAGATTTGTATAGACGTTGATGATTAAGAATCTCTGTTTTCAATTTCGAATAGGCTGTAAGGGGGTGAAATATTATGAGAAGAGGTGGTTTGTATACATATATTTTTTATGTTTGTGTGTATTTACAGAGTATACAATAATATTGGGAAATGCCTTTGCAAGGTATGGTTTTTTGAGAATTTGATGAGGGGTTAATGGCCAGTTTCTAAGGGGCGTCTATGGTTAGAGAAATTATTTTGTGTGGACAACGAACGATTTGAGATCAATCAGAATGCATCATGTCATCTGATATTGAGCAGTATCGAGCGCCGGTACTGAGAAAAAGACTGATGTGGCACTTTCTGGTTAGTCTCAGGATGCCGTATAGTGCCCGGATAGAATAATTTTTCCCATGGTCAGTAGGAAAATTTTCTCGATACAAATTTTATAAAGGCAATTTTTTATTATCATAAATTTTAAAATATTTGAATTTATTTTAAAAGGAGGGTGTTTGAGTTGAGCTCGACTGTCAAATATCGAGCTCGAGCTTGATTCGACACAGGAAAAAAAAAGTTCGTCGAGCTGCTCGAGCGACATTTCGAGCTCAGTCCATCCGTCGAACTTCTGCCCGCCTCGTCAGTCGTCACCATCTTGCGTCATCCAACTTCCGTCCGTCGAGTCTCCATTTGCATCTGTCGAGATTGCGTCATCGATCGTCCACGTCCGTCAAGCTTGTGTCGTCGATTGTCCGCATCCATATTGCTTGCATCGTCAATCGTACGCGTCTGTCGAGCTTGCATCGTCGACCATCCAAGTCCATCGAGCTTGCGTCGTCAACCATCTGCATCCGTCTGTCGTTGTCAGCTTCCGTCGTCGCAAGCTTTACCCGTGCGCACGATTTCATTTTCCCTCGATAAGCTGTCGAGCTCGAAATTGTGTTCGAGCTTGCCTCGCAAACTCGATATGCTCGACTCGTCGAGCCTGTTATCGAGTCGAGCTCGAGTGAGCTCGCTTGACTCAGTTGCACCCCTGATATTATTGGATCCTCATTGCTTCCTTTGCCATTTCGATCACGAAATCACCTCCCATCCATTTTTTGAATGCAACTACTCATTCAATATCATTGCTAACCTCCTCCATGGGGTTAATTGTATGATGATGTGGCCCAACCTCCATCAGATTATTAATCACTTAGGGCATCTCCAACCGAGAACTCCATTTTTTCACGCCAAAATATCGCAAAACGTAAAAATGGCGTGGTGCTGCTCCAATCGAACGCCATTTTTTTGCTTCTGCGCGAAGGTAACGATCCTTCTCCTTTGATGCGTTTTTCCGGTTGAGAGAGGAAAATAGCGTGGGTGAACATATTGGCGTTGCAATATTCACCCGCAAGCAAATGGCGGACGTTTTGGCGTTCGGCTGGAGCGACCGAACGACGCCAAACACTTGTTTGGCGTTCGGTTGGAGATGGTCTTAATGAGTCTTAGAGGATTTAACATATTGCTGATTCCAAACAACTTTTTCCTGCTAATCACTTGGTGCACTATTTATCATATATGGCCAGAGAGGAATGCAAGAAAATTTACTCTGAGATCAAAAACTTTTTCTCGCTATGTAGAAACATCAGGCTCGATATAAAATTTTTTGAGTTATTATTAATATATCTCAAAACTATTATATTTCATTGGAGATGAAAATCATTTATTAAAAAATAAATAACATTTATCTTAAAGTAAATCTAATAATTTTAAATTTTATCTTGACTAAAAATTTAACCATATGGCTGAGCCAATTTCTTTCCCAAATAGATTGCCAACTTAAAACTCTCTGTATAATGTTCTAATTTTTATTTATTTATTCCTCCTGTTGGCAGTCGTCCGGCGTAAATGTCAATGATGGTGGGTGGCCGACAGCGGCCTGCAGTGGCATGCCGGCGATGATCGCGTTGGGTGACGGTTGACAGTTAGAGCAAAGTTGGTTAATTCAACTTGAAAATATTTGAATTCATAAAAAATGAACTACGGAGTAAATATAGAAAAAAAAAAGGTGGAGTAAATATGAAATTTACTAAAATTTTATTATACATTTTTTTTTAATTGTCAGAAAACTCTTGCAATTTCGAATGCCTTACACTCAATTTTCTCCAAACAAAATGGCCCTTATAGATTCTTAGATTTCAAAATTCATATATTTTTTTTTCTAGCAATTATTTTTTTTTTTAATTGTTAAATTTATTTTATGATGAATATAATGCATTTTATTTAATTATTTATATATTATACACATCTCAGAGTAAATTAAAAAATTTTGAGACTATTCTTGACATATATTTGATACATAACGTGATTAAAAAAAAAATAATTTTATTTAAAAAATATTTTCTATTTTAGTAACAATTAAATTAGGCCGGTGTTTAGCGAAGCAGTCTAACTGCAATTTTTCCAACTTAATTAATATACCAAATTAGTAATTTATCAGTTTTATCATCTTTCCAATATTTAAAACAAAGAGTAAGTGAGTAACCACTATTGCTCCGATTGGCAAAGATTCGCTGTGGAAAGAAGTTGCAATCGAAAGGAACAAAAGGGAAGCAAAAATTAATCAAAATAAATATAAAATGAGCCTTCAAAAATAGCATACATTCGTAAGATCATTAGGATTAATCCATTTTTTATTAGGATTGATCCTTTGGATAAAACATAAAGCATATAAACTGAATTGAATACTGCAAATTAAAGAACAAGTGAAGCTTATCTTCCATAAATGAGCATTGAAAGTATCGTGCGGGTGAGAGAGATTGAGAGAAGACTAATAAGATGACGAGACGGTCATACAGAAGACTGAGTCCTAAGTTTTATGAGCTTATTTCTATAACGCTCAACAAGATTTATAATTTAGTGCATATAAATATTTATATATAACCTTTAAGGGTTGCTCTGGGTTACAATATACACGACAGTAGAGTCAGCATTTACGTCTCAGCATTGTACGAATATCCAACACACAAACGGAGAACACAAGATTTTTTACGTGGAAAACCTTGATAACGGGAAAAACAACGAGACCACGTCCAATTGAAACGATTCCACTAATGTTTGGGTAGATTACAGTTGATTGAATTATCCTTGAGAGTGATCAGATTACAATAATCAATCATCTAGTTGAAATCTAGTGACAAATGACGTCAGGCGCAGATCCGTCGACGTTTGGTCGATCGGAAGTTTGGCGTCAGTTGGTGGTCCGGAACAGCGTCGGAAGGTGCTTCGGCAGATTTCTGGCATCAGGTTTGAACCTTCCAACAGCGCTTTGGGTCTTTGATTTGGACCCACTTGGGCTCGGATTGAGTCAAATTTGGTGTCGTTAAGTTCTTATTTTCGAGATGTTCAGTTCGACTATAAGTTTGCTGAAATCAGAGTTCGGATGGTTCCAATTTGATTTTGCCTCGCGATTCATGCCCGATCAAGATAATTTTTTAATGATGTATCAAGGCTATTGGTTAGTATTCTAAGTTTTTACTAGTGAGAGAGAGAGATCTAAATTCAATAACAGAGTCAAGCAAATCGTAACTATTGATTGCATGTTTGATCTGTTCTTGATTTGACCAAAATCTTTATTCAATTTATTTCTAAAACAAATATTTTTATTATATTCGAGTCTCACTTTAATTCATATTAAATTCTGAGCCTTTTCTGGCATTAGCTACTGGGCTCGGGTTTAATGACCGGAGAACAGTTGCGCAGAAGGCAGAGAATCACCAATATCTATAGTCAACTCCGCTTAATTATCGCTTCTATTCCTCCCATTTTGAAACATTCCACACGCTCAAAATTAAGCTCAAACAAAAGTCAGAAGAGACTTAAAAAAAACTCTAAACTAGTGTGGGCCACTCTCTTCTCCCCCACCAGTTACTTCCCTTCAGTTCAGGCAACTAATCTCCCCCTCTTATATAAATCCCACCCCAACAGTTTCCCTTTTCCAAAATGGCTTCTCTCAGTAGAAGAAGACTAATCTTAGAGAAAGCATTGGCCACTGCAGATTCAGTCTCCTCTTACTTGGCTCTTGGGCTGGCCCTGCTGATGCTGATGAGTTCGGTGTGGGAGCCAAGTTCGGCCGTTGAGGCTCGAGAGGCCATCCATGGTGCGAAGCTAGACGCCGGCGGGCATCGGCCGTGCGATGAATTATATGTGGTGGGAGAAGGAGAGACACTTCATACCATTAGTGCAAAGTGTGAAGACCCTTACATCGTCGAGCGAAATCCACATGTCAACGATCCTGATGATGTCTACCCTGGCCTTGTGCTTCAGATCATCCCCTCAAGGCCCAAGTAGGAAGAAGGAAGTTGAATTGCCGGTTATGCATTTACTATCTTGAATTAAATCTTTATATAAAAGGGGAGATAAATTGTATATTAGATTAGAATAGCTCATAGTTTTTGTTATGTGCTTATTTATCGTTTATCTGTAACTGATTTATTATGTGGTGAAAATTCATCACACAAAAGATTGTAAGATGCGCTAGTTCGCTAAGGAAATTGCTATTTAAGCTAAAGAGTAAAGAACAAAAGATAATAACAGTCTCCCAACTATTAGTAAATGCTCAATTTAATCTAAAAAAGATCTCAAAATAATCTCAATGACAAAAATAACAGTTAAAGTTAAATATATATGTGATGATATTTTTTTTAGTAGGATGTTATGATATTATATTATTATTTTTATATATTTTTTTTATTTATCATATTAAAATAAATATAAAAGACATCATGAAATTAATCATATTTATTATTTATTCACTCTGGTTATATTTAATTTATTAACTTCTCTTGTAAAAAAAAATGATTAGGGGTTATTTCTTGAATCTTAGGATCGGTTCTTTTGTAATTGATTTATCTGATAAATTATTACGTGTGGTCACTAGATCATTCGGAGGCGAATCAAGATGCACCACATAATTCAATACACAGTAAAATAATGATATGACACATTCTTATTCACCTCGGGATGAAAGTACAGCTGAAAATCAAAATATAAATTGTGACCGGCAAACAAATCAATTAAAAATGTTTGATTGTTTTATGACCGGGTATCTATCAGAATTTATCATTTCATCAGTTTTTGTTTCTTTGGATTAACTTGCAACTGATGACCGTCAGAAAACTGTAGCTATATAAAATCTAACTTTATCAACGGTAACAATTAATATAATATTCACCCGACAATGATAATCTATATACCATTTATAACATAATCAATAATATCAATTAAAAAAATTCTGCCAGAATATTTAAGAAAAATACATTAATATTGATGCACTGTAAATTATCCATACAATCACCTTGATCTTCTCTTGTGTGATTGCTTGTCCTCAAAATTAAGAGAAATTATTATGTGCGAAGGCCAGATGTAGCTCTACGTCCGGAGACCAATTTGGTGCAGTCACGTCAGTGTGCTTAGCCACAGTACACAATGAAGGGGTGACATGGCGCATTCTAGTTGGTTTCCGGACGGTGTTCGGCATTTGCACAAAACAATTAATCCAAAATTAGACTCAGGTAGATCTCGATGAAATGGAGGGGACTCCATCATATGTGAAGCCCTAGCCTTTGGTCATTCCTCCCATATTGCATCTACACTTAGGCTTCATTTGGAATGATTTTCTTATTGTTTTATAAAATTATTTTGTAGTATAAAAATCTTTTGAAAGAGGAGAAAAATCAATATTTTAGAACTATCCCAAACAAAACCTAAGAGTCAAACTCATATTAGGTGGTAACATCCTCTCCTTATTTAAAGATCATAGTTGATACATATTTTTCCTTACCTAATGAGATATTATATTTAAAATATATTAATATCACTCTTTTTATAAATGACAAGAAAGAAAAATAATATTATGATAAGATACTTATGAAAACAATAGAAGATTAAGATTTTATTTGAAACAGTTTTCTTATTTCTTTTAAAATAGTTTTTTAGTACAAAATATTTTAAGCTAAAAATTTTTATGCTAAAAATCTGCTTTAGAAATCAATAAGAAAGCTGTCCCAAAGGAAACCTTAAACATTACTCTTAACAGTTTGCGCAAGGGCTTCGAACTTTTTTTTTTATTTTTTTGCAAAATCTCGAGTGGATTTTAATTATTCTGGCTAACTTAAATATGATTATTAACTGTTGGAAAAAAGGCGAAATACGTATAAATATAGAGGAAAAAAAAAAAGATTATCAACACATTAAAATGTAAATATTTTTTATATAAGTTCATCAATTGACAATTGAAAGCTAGCTTCATCAAGTTGCTAGCGTAGCGAATTGGACTATTGATTATATAAAATTATAATCTTATTTTTTTATTATAATTTTTACGATGCTAATATAAGATGAATACACTTATAAAACAATTTGAGCAATACCGAGTTCTTTTAGGTATTGTTTGGTATTGGTCTTCACATAGTGGTATTTTTTGTTATTGCCAAGCAATACCTAGCAATACCGAGTAATACATAGCAATACCGAGCAATACGCGAACATAGTAATCTCGGATTCCAGTGCGAGAAGGGTCATCGGGCCGCGCGGTAAAGAGTAAGAGTACGTGGCGACATATTATTGACTACCGGACGTAGAGCTACATCAGGTCACCTGACCTAATAATTGTTCCCATCTATGAGTATAAGTCAAGCCGACAAAATCTTCCAGGCTCACTAGACACCTTCATCGAGTTTGACTTTTCTATTAGGCTACACAGTTATTATAATTTTTTTTAATTCTGTATACAGTCATGTATGCAGTCAATTTTGTAATTCTCTTGCTTCAATACAAATCTATAAAGGGGATCAAGAGATGAATTCACTTTATAGAAAGCTTGATGTTTGAACTTAATTTGTGACCATATTGTCAATGAAATCTTTCAAGATGCAGCCTTGGCATGAATTCACACTAGATATCTATCATATGTCCCATAAGCTTCATCATTCAATAATCACTTCTCAACTAAACTATTAGTTTAAGGGTCTATTAATTTGAGATTGTTTCAACTTTTTATCTATAATGAGGAAGAATTTTTTTGTAATTATTGTGAATATTATAAATAGTTTTTTTTCAAAAATAAAATAATAATTTTTTTATTGCTACTATATTTTAATAGATCTGAAGTGGCTGTAAATCATTATTTCAAATATAAGTTATCATTATTTCAAATATTATAGAAGCCTAATGAGCATTCATAAGTTATCATACATTGGGGATATATGTGAATGCTACTCTAAATCAATATTTGATTACCATGAATTTTTAATATAAAGTTTAAATATGATAAAATTAAAAGAAAATTTATATTGACTTGAAATTATTTATTTGTTAGCTATAAAAAATTTCAAATTCATATAAACTTAATATATTAAAATATGCGTTATAGATTAGTTAAGTATATATGAAAAAAGTCAATCTAAAGACCAAAAGCTAAGTAAGAAATATATCATAATCTTATCAAATCATACAAAAAATGGCTTCATAATCTTATCAAATTTTAATTACATTATTGATATGTCATAAAAATGACTTGATCATGCACTGACCTCATAGCACTACAACAATCCCTTCAACCTTTGTCGTTTACCGATTAAAGTCCTTTTGACCTCCGTTGTCTACTGACTACGAACTCTCTAACCTCCGACATTGGTTCCTTCGACCTCTTTCGCTCGACTATATATGGTCCCTCTGACCACAGTCATTTGCCGACTACGATCCCTCTGACTATGATCCCTTAGACATTCGTCGTCTACTGAGTATGGTCATTCTTACCTCTGTCACCTATCTACTAAAGTCCCTTTGACCTCTATCGCCCAACATAAGTCCCTTCAACATAAGTTGCTCGACTACGGTCCTTTCGACCTATGTTGTCTGACTACGGTTCTTTTGACCTCTATTGTCTGACTACGGTTCCTTCGACGACATCCGTCTACCGACTATAGTCCCTTCGACCACCGTCGCATGATAATTGTCCCTCCAACCTTCATCTTCTACCTACTACAATTCTTCTGACCTCCGTCACTCACCGGCTATAGTCCCTCTAACTTATGTCGCCTAAAACTAGTCTCTTCGACCACTATTGCACGACACTACTCCCTTCAACTTTTATCACCCGACAATAATTCCTTCGACTTTAGTCAACTGACTATGGTCCTTCCAACTCTTTTTGCCCGCCGACTACAATCCTACTGACCTCTATCAGCCGCTGACGTCGTCTGCCAACTACATTCCCTCCAACTTTGTCGCCCCGACAACTATCCCTTCGACCTTAGTCGTCCAACTACATTTCCTCCGACCTCTATTGCCCGACTACGATCCCTTTGACCACAATCACCAGCAAGCTATGGTCTCCCCATCAAGCGTTAGATTTTAGAAAGATTAGTTTCTTCTCCTAAAAATTTTATGACAGATTAAAAAATGCTGGGATACTGCATTTACTTGATGTTTTAGACTTTTAGATCAATATAAGTAATCATGTCGGTTTTAAATTTTATAATATTTTCTAAAAATGCCTGCTTATGTAAATGCACAGCAGCACAAGTTCTCTATTAATTGATAATAATGTAATGTCATGCTGGTTTTGCTATTCACTACGAATATAAAAAAGCAACCATATTTAATAAAAGGTGAAAGAATTGGCACCGCTAGCTTAGTCATTATAACTTTAATCGGGTTTGACATAAAGCCTACACTCTATCTTGTTTTGGCATTCCCTATCCTCATGTGAATGCATTGCTTTAAGGCTGATTCCGCCCTCAAAATTAAGCTGATTTCGTCCTGATTATTCATATTCAACATAAATATGATAGTTTTGAAGATCAACCTCTTGCATTAGAATATTTTGCTCTTCAACCGTTTGACAGATCATATCGTGATTCACTTATTATGGTGCAAATAGTGAGAGTTCATGACGTAATTATTAATACAGTAATTATCCAAGTAGAATCGGTTAGATATGTAAGCCTATCAAGGTCTTACACGTGTCTCATCTTTGTAAATAAACGCCTATATAGCTTATATCCTGTACTCTGTAAACAGGGCATACAATACAATATTCTATCTTTACTGTTTATCATTTTCTGTTTCTTGCCTGAGAAGGATTGATGAGTTCACAGAACTCTACATGGTATCAAGAGTAGCGTTCTAATCCTGACGATGTCGCCATGACAACGCTCGCTTCCGCATCCTCCTCCGCTCATACCACGGCAGGATCCGGAGTCTTAACTCCAGCCATTTCCCCAGCTCTAAAATTTGTAATTTCTAACATCAAAACTCTTGTTCCTCACTCTCTTACTCCCGACAATTTCCCTCTCTGGAGCACCCAATTTGCTAAACTGCTTAAAGCAAATGGGTTTAGCAATTTTCTTGTGCCAAAATCGGCATCTGAAAATGCCGATCCTAATCAAGAAACTCAAGATTGGTCTATAACAGACCAAAATCTTGCTACCGCAATGTGTTCTACCATCTCTCCGGCTGTCCTTCCCTATGTGATTCACCTAGAATCAACATCTGAGATTTGGTCCACACTTCATACGCGGT